AAAAAAAAAAAAAGGAAGAACTAGAGCGGGCACCTATAATCCCAGCACTTTGGGAAGCTGAGGTGGGCAGATCATGAGATCAAGAGGTTGAGAGCATCCTGGCCAACATGGTGAAACCCTGTCTCTATTAAAAATACAAAAATTAGCTGGGCATGGTGGTACCTGCAGTCCTGTAGTCCCAGCTATAGGAGGAACTAAAGAAAGAAAAAAAAAAGGAACTAAACTGTGGTCTAGGATTTAGTGTGGTGGATGGAAGTGTGCTGATATGGGTGGAACTCTACAGTGTTTCACCACTGAGTCATTTCTCCCCTCTTACATGTCTATTTCTCTTTTTAGAGGTCTGTCACCTCTGAGAGGGTTCAGAACACTGAGTTATCAGCTCTTATATGCGTTTCCTGGATGAGCCTTTTAAAATTAATTTTACTGGGGGGCTCCCTCTAGGGCTACTGCATGTTGCAATGAGTCAACCCCCTAGACACTCCCACTCAGTGCCCAGTCACCCAGGGGTACCTTTTGACTGGGAAGAGCAAAATGCCTTTATTCTTTGAAACTAAGGAGTTCATTTTCTGATTTATCTACAAAAATGACAGTTCAGATCCCAGCACTTTGGCAAGGCCAAGGAGGGAGGATTGCTTGAAGTCAGGAGTTCAAGACCAGCCTGAGCAGCATAGCATGACGTTGTCTCTACTAAAAATAAAAATACTCTGGGAGGCCGAGGCGGGTGGTTCACGAGGTCAAGAGATCGAGACCATCCTGGTCAACACGGGTGAAACCCCGTCTCTACTAAAACTACAAAAAATTAGCTGGGCATGGTGGTGTGTGCCTGTAATCCCAGCTACCCAGGAGGCTGAGGCAGGAGAATTGCCTGAACCCAGGAGGCGGAGGTTGCGGTGAGCCGAGATCGCGCCATTGCACTCCAGCCTGGGTAACGAGCGAAACTCCGTCTCAAAAAAATAAAAATAGCCCCTTGTGGTGGCACATGCCTGTAGTCCCAGCTGTTTAGGAGGCTGAGATGGGAGGATCACTTGAGCACAGGAGATCAAGGGTGTAGTGAGCTTGATCACCATGCCATTGGACTCCAGCCTGGTGGCAGAGAGAGACTCTGTCTCAGGAAAAAAGAAAAGAAAAAATGACAGTTCAGTTCCTCATACAAATATACAGAAAAGCCAATTGGGATTAATTTGGGAAGAAAAAGGCAGTGGAGAAGACTCTTTCAAATGCACCTACCAATCAGAATTAGGATCCTAAACAACTTTCTAGGGAAAGAACCAGCTCAGAATAAACCAATGGACCATCAACCATGTGGGAGGTCTGGGGCTCAGGAATAACTACCAGTTACACGTGAGAGAAGCTTGCAGTTGGGGCCTTTCAATGGGCCTTTCCTTGGAGGGTGGGGGGATCCTGAGTTTTCTCTGAGGTCTTGCATTGGGTGTCAGTTTCTGATGATGAAAGGAGTCCAGCTCTGTAAAATATTTAAAGATGTTTATTCTGAGCCAAATATGAGTGATGAAGACCTGAGGCACAGTCTCAAGAGGTCCTCAGTACATTTGCCCACCTACCATTTTCCAGTGTCTATAACATTTTACGTTTCAATCAGCAATGCACAAGGGTTCCAATTTCTCCATATCCTTGCTGACAATTATTTTCTGGTGTGTGTGTGTTTTGAGTTGGAGTCTTTGTTATCCAGTGGAGTGCAGTGCTGCAATCTTGGCTCACTGCAACCTCCACCTCCT